TTAATCAATTTATTCAACCAAGAACTCTGCTCATTCCGGAGCTTCCCGACGCCTTATGGTCCCAGCGCTTTTCGAGGGCTCCCGCCACGTCAGCCGCCCTTCTTCGGAGCGGCGAGTCGCTGAATCGCACTAAGGAAAAATACAAGAAGTTTGCTCGTCATTCAACATTGTGATCGAGTTGGCTTCAACGCGTGCTACTAAGAGGACCATGTTGAGACAACTTAGAGGATTTCCTGGAAATTGAACATACGATGAGCGTGTGCTAGGGCAAGCGGGTCGAAATCGTGAACTCAGTCAGAGGAAAATAATCGATGGGCGGTGTTCATAAATCTAGTGGTCTCACCGTTGAGCGCTAGGGTCAAGCTTCGATGCCCCAGAGTCGCAGGCGAGAGGTATCTGATATCATTCGAGGAGAGGTCTAGAAGCTTCAACTTCGGTAGGTAGCTCAGTAAATCGGGCACGACGCTCCTGATACCGCAAGAGATGATCCTCAGCGTCTCCAATTCGGAAGATTGCTCTGGGAGAATATCGGCGCTTAGCCGAGTCGTCAGTATGTCGGAGTACTCTATCTCCAGACTCTTCAGTTGCTTCAATTTCCGAAGACCTTGAACTGTGGAAATGAAGAGTCAGTCAAAATACCCTATGCCGCAGCCTTCATGTCCATCTTTCAGGATGGTGAGGTTCGTTCCGCTAATGGATGCCAGAGGTCTGGATGAGAAAGGTCTTACCGTCGACGGAGTCGCTATTGCGGATGCGGAGGCTGGTCAACTCATGGAGACTTCCAAGAGCGGTAAGGCCTTTCTGCGCGGCGAATGACACCGATTTGGCGTTCGGGCTGATGGGGCGGAAGGAAAAACTTCATTATAGTACCCAAGAAAAGGGGAGTCCAACCCTGAAATATTCGATCTGCACTTCGCTCGGAGGTCAAGACTCCGAATGCCGCGGAAAATCAAATGAATGTGCTGCTGCTCTTAAATGAGCCGAACATAATCCAATCGATGTCCTGAACATCACCGAAATCTAAAACAGAGAATTCCATCGGGGGCGAAGCCCCTGATCGGGACATGTACTCTCAAGGATCGACTGATGAGCATGAATGACCTACCTTATTCCGGAGAAGAAAGCTGCGTGATTGATCTCCGACGCCACCATCACCCACTCAACGATGGGGCATTCTGGGAATTCCCCGTCGTACGCGAAGGAAAACAGAACAACTGTGTGTATTTCCAGTCCGCACAGGGGCGACAGGAGCTTTTTGGCAAGCGATCCCGATACTTTCGAGCTCTGCAATCAGAACACCCGAGGGCATCTTAGAGCCGGATCGTACCGACGGCGATCGATATCTCTTTATTATATGGGAGTCAGACACTCACATCTTCTTTGCTTCCCTCTTTCTTCCACCTCAGATCACCGACCAGGTACAATTTCTGTAAGACGAGGAATCAAGAAGAATAATTTAGATTATCGTAATCGCCTGCTCTACGAGGAATCGAGGGCGCCGGATGCAGAGGCTGGAACACTCCCGGCTAGATCCATTAGAAAGAATCCCAATCAACATGGCTCGGGTCTGTGCTACAGACGATGGAGGATACCGCATGAGCTCATCAAGAACTTCGGGGAGGGGCGTGGTGGAATATATTCGACTCGGAAACTTACGGTGATATTGACTTCGTTGGACTGCTCAGCGAACTTCTGAGGCGTTACCGTCGTCCAAGAAGATACAACGCAATGAACGTTAATCTCCTGCTCTTCCAACATGCAGTAACACCCGAGCGACTCTTCGTAAATCGGACATAGCGCCGCTTGCGAGGTCGAAGTCAGCAAAATCATCAACAGTACTGAGAGGATCCTGGAAAATAAGCCAAGAACATTTTTCAGAGACTTTGGTGCTGAATGAATTTTTAATTTCTGCGGCCGAGCGTCTCAGTTGTCACTCCCGGTTCTGACTCCAGGGGTATTGAGTCGAGTACTGGGAGTGGAGAAAAGGCCAGAACACCCCCAGGAGCGATCCCTACCAGAGCTGGAGGTGATCACCCACTCGGTTGGCAGGACTTGTTGGTCGGCACCAACTGACCCCGTATTTCGGTACCGATCTTGAGAACTTTTACGCTCTTCAATGCTCACCAAGCATCAGTCGAAAAACGGAAGCTTTTTCGTACTCACATTCTCGCGTAGTTTCTGATTCCTCGCGTATACTCTGAGTATCCTTCAATCGAGCGTTTCTCCGTCTGATTCCTCGACTTGCCCGATGTTCTTGAACTCGCTGCTCGAGCGGATAGGGGTGCCGAGAAATGTCTTCAGAGAAATTAGAAAATCGATTTCATGGACTGTGCACTCCTGTGGTAGAGATAGGACCGACTCCGGAGCGAGTGAAAAGACAGTGGGTTCACGACATGGCCTCTTTTATGTAGATTGGCGCAAAGAGAGTGCGTGAGCGAGAGTTGATTCGAAATTCGAATGAGCCGGCTGGTACTGTGCGAGGGGTATCGGGGAGGCGATGTACTGCACACCTAGGCGGTGCCACCTCTGAGAGGGTGAGCGCTGCTCTCGATAATCTGCGTCGAGAAACGAAATTTCTCAAGAGGAATTTCTCTCGCGTGAAGCGGCATCTCGGCTGTAACCCGCACCGCCTGGGATTGGACTTCCTCGGATGGAATCCTTGGCGGGGTCGACTGAATGATGCGCCGTGCCGCCCCGCCCGCCGAAATTCGTTTCTCGGCGACGAAAAGATGAGTGCGGAAGTCCCCGCCCTTCTTCCGCATACCTGGAGCTGAGCCAGCTCCAAGAACCAATGATTTTTCCGGGATGGGCTCATGCGCATCTGTCTTTTTGGTTGGGATGACTTGGGCATCGTGCAAATGAGCTTACTCGGGCGAGTTGGGCAAAAGGACCATGGCCTGCCCTGCGATTCCCCAATCATTGAGCTAGGTTGCGGAGCGCGGGATCGGGGGTCGCTCTCCTGTCGCCTGTGAATCCGCACTTCCTCCGAGACGCTCTCGTGTGCGAGGAACCATTTGGATCTTTTCGGGGCTACCTCCTCCGACTTCCCGATTCACGAGGAGAGGTCCGTCAGGGCCGATTCGAATAAAATGGAAGGAGAATGGATCGAGGCCGAAGAATAATCCGTCATGTTCGAAAGCCGTTGATCGAGTTCCATATCGCTCGGTCGCTGAGCATGAGAAATCCTATACGCTCAACCGGGCTGAGCAATCGGCCCCTTATTTCAGGCGTCCGTCCCTTAAAACGGAGTCCATCTTAGGAGGTTCCACTGTGTCGCGCATGCCGAACAGTACGCCTAGATGGACCGGGGTCGATTTTTGTCGATTCATCCTCTCGAACCCCTGCGAAATTGACTCCGGTGGCTGCAGGCAGGCTGGCGCAACCTGTATCCGTCGGCTACCGGATGACCTCTCGGAAATCTCTAGAGCGCATTCAAGCCTCAGAGCCAGCGAACATCGAGTCATTGGATATGAAAGCTTGCTCGTGTTGAGAAACAGTACTGTCATCCGCTTTTTCCTTCTTTATTCAGATAGCCTGACCTCAGGTGAGGTACACCCTTCTCTTGATTGTCATGAGTCATGAACATGTCACGTCTTCGATGAACACCAATCGGTCCGAGCCCATGCCGAGGATTGAAGAGTCTCGCGAAAATGCGGTGGCGATCATCCATGGGGAGAGGGGGAGAAGGGACACTTCCGGTGGAATAATCATTACGGTCCCAGGAGCGCTAACGCGACGTTGTACCCATGCAAACTGGTTCTGAACTGCGATGATCACACGTCGATGCATCTTCCTCCGAGGCGGGACTCTGTTGCTGGAATGCTTATCATAGCAAAGCGTCAATCCGAGGTTTCCGATCGGTCGCGGGACGCATCTCATAATAATCGATTCGGGAAACGTGGCGTCAGGTGGACCACCGATATGATACGGTCCCGAATTGCTGTGAACGGATCCCGTTCCTCCTTCCATCCCTCCGTGATAGGTGGAAATTTCACGAGATAGGCGAGCGTTCGATGGCGATCCCAATCTGAGAGATGCTTGACCGTGCTCGGGAGACGCGACGATGCCGACGGGTGAGAATAAGAGAGATTAGTGGTCATCCTCCACCTAAGCGCCTCTGAACGTCCCAGAAGATCGCGCAGTACCCCATCCCGGAATTCTTCTCCTCACTGTCCTGACCTCTGTGATCGATTAACTGTTTTTCCAGCCCCGACTCGTATCGAGTGTTCAAGCTGTCTTCCGGAGCTCCGAAGTCCAATGAGCGAGTCGAGGGGAGCGGATCATATCTGACATTGACGATGTATGTAGTTACGCTTCAGTACTAAATGCCTGATTTTCGCAATCGCTCCTCCGGAGAGGAGCCCCTCGATCGAGCACGGCATTGGACACAGGGATGAGCGTTCCGTTTAAAGGCTTCAATAAGCCGATGGGATTCCTCGACTACCTGGCGCAGTCCACTCGAGATCACCGAAGGAGCCGACAAACACCAATTCCTTCGTCGACTGGGCTTCCCTCGCATAGGCCGAACCCGGTTGTCTGCTCTCTAGTGTGGCGGGGTACAATGATGCCTTTCGTGTGCTGATATCTGAAGTCAGGCTCAGGCATGAACCAGCCAACGTGGCGTGACCCCTCTCGGTCAGGCAAGCAGCTCACATCCTGCTCACACGTGGCTTGGCGATAGCCATCCATTCTAATCACTCCGACAGACTGCCTGAATTCCGGCCAGGAATAAGACAATATAGGAGACACGCGAGTCATGATTCTCTATCGAGGGAGATAATTGGATTGATATTCTCCAACACGACGGGAAACCAAGGATCCGGCAAGGCCGCTGAGCCACTCGCCGGGTCGGTAGAAAAATATACGTCTCATATATCTTGACTCACACGTCTTCCTTGCTATTCTGACGGATTCACCGTTTCCCGGATATTTCCTTCGGATCCCAGCGCCCGACGAATTTCCTCTTGGAGGGAGGTCAAAAGGAAAGCCACTCGCTTGTGTCATATGTACAAAATTTATTTGAAATTTTCAGCGAGCTCTTCTTCGACGCTCATCGGTGTACAAAACTCTTCGGGTCACGTCCTTTCGATGATTCACTACCATTGTCTTGAGTAATTCATTAAAACACGCTTCTTATCACACGCCGCAAACAAAGTAAAGTAGATGAGCAAAATTACGTTCAGGGCGGTCGTCGGTAACGACGCGACGCAAAGATCAACCAGACCCTCACAGCACCTCCACGACGGCAGCGACATTCAATTCTACAATGTGCGCAAAGACCTGCTCGACCAGTTGTTCGTGGACTTGCTCCAGACAGCTCGTGTACTCAGTCCATTCCTTCTCCTCTTCGCGGATTTCCCTGACGCAGGGAGGAATGAAAATTCAGATTCCGCGCGGTCTCGAACGATGGAAGTCAAATAACAAAAGAATTTGGTTTTTCGAAAACGTTCTGAGAGTTTGCAAGCGTCCATACTCACTTTCCCATGATGAAGTCGATGTAGTCCATACGGCGATGGTTGATGTACGACCATATGCACTTGGGTCGAGTGGATTTACTCTTCTCGGATTTTAGTATATCGCCAACAATCGCATCTATGAAGGCCTGATGGCGCTCTTTTGAAGGCAGAGGTCGCGAGAACATATTCTCGCTGTTCCGACCCACCCTGCAAATGCAAGAAGCTTTCAACCACACGCTCGTCGGCATTCTGCGAATGGCTTGCGCCATTTCCCGAGTTCCTTCCGGATGGAACCACCATGGCTGCGACGGTGACGACTGAGGGCCGGATTAGCCACCACTGCAGCTCACGACCCGATTCGTGGTTCCACTCTCTCTCTTTTTCAGGAACGTCCCAGGTCAAGCGGATCAGTAACAAGCCCACGGGGCGAGGGCAAGGGGTCTTCGAGCCCCGACTTCCCCAACCAGCTGAGGTTCGTACTACATTGGTCGACTTAAGGAGTTATATCCTTTGATTCGAGCCTTATCATTGAGATTTTCCATCTTGGTTCAGGATTGTCGGTATAAAAAATACATTCAGGATCGATGATAGAAATTGTTTCACCGGCTCTTCGCCGAAGTGGAACCCTCACCTGAAAAGCTTCTCGGCAGTTTCTTTCGCGACGTCGAAGAGCATCTCGCCGTATTGGACTTTGGCCATGTCTGCCACACCTTGACAATGCGTATCCTCGTAGCTGGCCTCGTCCAGTCGCCGACCGGTGATTAGTTGCTCGAAAAGGTATTCAGCCGCATGCGAAGCCTCGGTTTGGAGCTCGCCCAGAGTCATCGGGACGACGGGTTCAGGCTGTCGTTGCTCTTTGACATTCTTCGTGGGTGCTATTGAGACCGCCTTCGGCTGTATGGGTTCCGCGACCGTCGGGGCAACCGTCATCACCTGTTTGGTACAGTATTCTCGTTGAGTGTCGCAGGCGCGTTAGATCTCCGTCCCTCCGGGCATTGCAGTCGGACAGGAACTGGGCCCCGAACCCAGGCCCAAGTGTGTCGAATGCCCCTCGCCGTACGGAATGCATGCCGTGATAAGCGTCTTGAGACGCGCGAGCAATAAGAAAGCTATAGTGCGATCTTTTCAGAGAGACCACGCACGGAAAGGTAGAGGCTTAGTGCGAAGACAGCGGGAGTGTGCATGGGAAGTGCACTACGGCCCTGTGCATAATAACGGTTCGAATTCTGAGATCTGTATGATGCATGCGAAGGATCGAGCCGGTTTTAGAGGAATCGTGTGACATCCAAGTGCACAGACCTTTGGTGGGGTATAAGGTGGTGGAGGTTTGTTTGGGATAGTGCGTATGCAAACCTGCTGACTGGCGTCGTCCACGAAGATCTGCTGACCGATTCCGGCCAGACTTCCATTCAGAGAAGAGATCGGGGAGAACTCCCCCCAGTCCTGATCTCGATTTTCGGGAGGCTGAGGAAGATCGAGAGTTTGAGTTTTCATGAGGGACATCCGACGACTCAAATGTTCGAGCCGAGCTTACCTCGGATTTGGCTTTGTTCATTGCGCCCATAGCCTCGTCGACAAGACGCTCCATGAGATTTGTGGCATGACCTTCAAGTTTGGTGGCTTTGACGACTTCTTTTAAGGTATCTTCTTTGAGGCTCTTCACCAGCATGGAAAGTGTCGAGTCCACCTTACGGTTTTTAGTATTTTCGCTATCTTCCGACGATTTCGACTGAATGGCGTCAGCTTCTGATTTCGAACTTTCGCTCCTCGAGGATTCCGACGCTTCTGCCGCCACGGCGACTCCGGGATCGGCCCGATCGGATGACGGGGCCTCGGGGATCTCGTTGGCGGGGGCCTGATCCAACGAGGAGGAGGAACCCGTGGACAGCGACTTATCTGAGGGGCTTTTATCTCGTTTCGATAAAGATTTACTACTCGAGCTCTTGGGTGAGATGTTCTGTTGAGCGTTATCGCTTCTTGGCTCAGCACCGGAGGGCAGAGTCAATGGGTGAGCTTCAGAGACATCCGACTCGGAGACGCTGGCCCGTGAATGTTGACTCTTCTCGGCCATACCCTCCCGGGACGCATCGCTCTCTTCACTTTCCTGGGACCGCTCCTGTACTGCGACCCTTGGCTTACGGATTTTCGGCATTACATGCGTCGCGGACTCCAGCATCGCCACAGCGGCTCTGTTGTTGGCTAATAGCTTCTCCAGAACCTCTATTCGTCTCATGAGCATCTCTTTCCGACCCGGTCTCCGGTTCGAGTCCGGAGTCTCGAGGTCCCGTTTGAGTTTTTCCAGCTGTCTTTTCTCACGCTCTTCCTCGTCTTTCAAGGCTCGCCTACTGCCTTCGATGTCAGAGGCATCTGTCTCCGAAAGACTGGCGATATCTTCGGAACCAGATGAATCTTTACGACTCCTGAATTTCCTCGCGGATAGCGGTCGCAAAGACAGGGGTTGACTCTCGGATTTGTGGCTGCTTTCGTTCGAAGTCACGAGGGCGTCTTGGAAAAGCTGCATTTTCGTATTGACTTCCCGTTCGACAGCGGCTTTCATGTCGGCCATGAGTTTCGCTTCCCGTTTCTGGAAACACAAGTTCGGAATAATAATTCAGGATGACAGTGACTCCGCGCGATGAATCGCCGAAGGGATGGAGAGCGAGGAATTTTTTTTCAAACTCGGGACTCTTCCCCTCACTGACCTTGATGGCCTCGGAACGTCTTTCTATCTTTTGTCGTTCTCTCTCAAGGTACTTGACGAATTTCTCTTTTTGAGAAATCTCATTGTTCCGCTTGATGAGCAACTTCACTAGGTCCATGTGTTCGATGAGATCACTCGTACCAAGCATGATCGAATGACTCCTTGAGTTTGAGCCCGACGCTGAAATATAGTTTCCTATCGGTCACGCTTCCCAACGGTTCCATGACTCAGAGATCGCAGCACACGAAAAGAGAACGGAATGAGTTACCTTTGCCGGGATCGTTCTCCTGATCGCTATTCTTTTCATCCGTCAGGATGTCACTGCTCTCGTCGGACGACGTGTTGGTTTGCTGTCCACTGCTGCTCGACGATTTAGAACGAACTTTCTGCTTGGCCAAGATCCGTAGCAGCTTATGGAGTTCGTTCCGCTCCTTGCGTTGTTCCTTTCCGTCCGGCATTCTCGACTCACTTCTGGAAGAAGTCGGACCGAATAATTAGAGATTCGAATCAATCACTTCCCATCTCGTTTGTGAGGGGGCGCTGATTCTCTCCACTAAGGGATCAGCAAAACAAAAATACAGAGCAGCCAAGAGAATTCCGTCCTCACCCTCTCGCTGTTTGAGTTTCCGCAATGCCCAATTTTCGCAATTTCTTGAGATTTTCGGACTGTTGACCATGCAAGTTGTGCTCCCTCCGTTCGACGTAATCGATGAGAGCCATGATCAAAGCAGAATCAGAAGATGCGGCAGCACCGCCTGTGAGCTCAGGAATGGAGTTCGTGGGTGTCAACACGGCTTGTGCTGCCGCGTCGGCCTTGGCATGCGACGTCTTTCGTTGAGCTTCGAGTTGGTTTCCTCTATCGGGTTTCTCCGAGGAAATTGTCTCAGCTTCACTCGATTCCGCAGCCCTAGCGGGAATGTCTTCAGTCGCTGGAGGGTTTTCGCGTGGCTTGGGGACATCTGTTTTCAGGGTTGACACGGTGGGAGGGGACTGATGCGGAACTTCCGTCTTCACAGTTGACACGGTTGGCGATGATTTCAGTGACTAGAATTACGGTAGGTCGAGGATCAGCCGAGAACGGGCTCATCAGTTCGACAATTAATACCGTCAACGGGGAGTTCAAATTCAAACGGTACCTGATCAGGTGAGCTTCTCGGCGGCGTTTCTGGCGAGACGCCGTCGGAGTTCAGATGACGGTCTTCAGGTCCTTCGGAGATCGATCGTTTCTCATCGGTCAGCGAGGAAGTCTCGAAAGAGACCGATCCTGACTTCGATTCATCGGCAGTTTTAGTCGTCGACCCCGAGGAGCGAACCTCCTTGTTTTCCGATCGGATAGCTTCATCACCAGGTTCTTGTTGGTTATCGGACCGTTCTTCGGCAAGACTCTCGAAAGGTCGATCCACCATATCCCGGGAGGCAGTTTGCGTAGTCTTGATTCCGGAGCGATGTTCCCCCTCGTCATCTGAAAATATTGAGCGTTCTCCACATTGGACCTGGCCTCATGGATATTTTTACTGGGCTCCTCCTCAGGGGCTGTTCAGGGCTAAGAATCTGGAATGCGTCTATAGTCGCGGACGCGTGAAGTCTTTCTCACCCCGGGACGTAGTTAAGTCTTTCCGCAGACGACTCATCTCTTTCGACTGGTTCTCGATCTGATCAAAGGCTTCCTGGAGACTTCTACGGAGTTCATCCACTAGATCGTCTCCGTTGGCTTTGGAGATCAGGGCGCCCGGACGAATTGGAGTGCTGGTCTTCCGGTATTCCTGTCAAACGCAAAATTATTGCAGAAAATAATTGCAGGAGCTTGCCGGGGAACCCGATTCGATTCTCGGCGAAGACTCGTGAATCGCGATGACCACCAATTTTAATAATGCTGCGCTCGAACACGAAGCCGACCAATCCTTCACTCACCCTCGTCAGTAACTCGTTGGCTATGTTCGTCTCCCGTGCGAATGCATAGTTTTTTGCGCGAGAGACTTCGCTGATTTTCAGAAGCGTATCGTTGCAATCTTCGAGGAAATCCAATTCGTTCGCCGCTAGGTTACTCAGGGAGACGGGAGCGTACGATTTATTCGGGGAAGACTTTTCCCTCAATTCAGCCTCTAGCTTCAGAGGTGGGGCCTTCTTTCCATTGGTCTCGTCTTCGAATATTTTATCGAAGCTGTTTAGCAAATTCCGGGACGCATTGGACCGACTGGACTTCTCAGAGAATACGCTGGAATTGTTGATCTCACGGAGTACACGCTTCGCCTCTTCGAGGATATCGTCTCCTTCGATGCAGACGCTGCTGCTGCGGTGCGAGGTTCTTCGGATACGTCCCCGGCTTCCGTTGCTTTTGTTCTGAATATTGTTGTTCGGGTCGCTCTGTTGTCGAGGTTCAGACCCTTGCTTGGGCTCCATCTCGGAAATGATCTTTTGCGTTTTCTCGAGGTTCCGCCGAGAACTCTCGAGCTGTTTCAACACTTCCCTCGCTTGTTTTACAGCGGAATCATCGATGTCGGTGAGACTTGAAGCGTCGGAGCTGCGATTGTGGGTCTCCGGTACTTGCTCAGCTGAGATACGAGATACGTCGACGCCGCAATTGTCGTATTCAGCTTCAGGAAAGTTCCTCTTCGGAGTCGACGAGTCCACCGCGGAGCCCTTGAGGTATTTTTGCCGCCATTCGAAAATGAAATTCGGATCGTCCAAGTCGGAGCGGAGGTGCTCGCTTTGCGCGGGCTTCTCGTGGGTCGGCTCCTGTTCCGTACGATCCCCATTCGACACGCCGTTCGCTCTACCGAACGCTTGGATTACCGGTGCTGATATCGGTGCAGATCCCTCCAAGCAGCGGTTTGGAGTCAGCGATCCCCCATTTCGTTTTGACATACGGTTCTCAGGCGCCGGCGCGCTATATTCCTCGAAGAATAAGCTCCTAGATGGAGAAATGCGCGATTTTGGACGAGGCGTGTCCTGGAGCGAGCTAAGGAAACTTGACACACGGACAGATTTGGACGGAGAGAACACATCGTCGACGCTGCTCACAACTGAAAAAGAACAACACAACACGGTTTCCTTTTACGGAGAAGGGTACATGAATTCATGCAGACACTTTCCTACACGGATCGGATTCGACGGGGCGAAACATCCGGATCTGAGACTCTGATTTTTTTGCAGAATTTATTCTCTCAAAACTTGATTGACAATCGCGAGGGGAAGCAAACCTTCCCTATGGCAATTCGTCTTGACTAGTACCTTTTTCTTCGGGGGCACGAGGAATGAGGGCGGAGCGGCTCTCCCGGAGTCCCAATGTGACCAAGAAGCTATCCAATCGCCGTGTTGTCTCCTCGAGCCGCTGCTCAATCGGGACTTCGGAAGCAGCGTAAGTATTGACCCTTGCTTCGAACGAAGTTTCGCTGACGTCTCTCGCCCGGATAGCGGACGAAATGTTCTTCTCGAATTCCGTCAGAAGCTCCTCGAGCTTGTCACTCCGGGGGTCTTCGAAGAGGAAAGACTCGTTAGTAGAACATCATAAATCTTCGCTGTTCTTGCTCTAGGGGAATGATATCGGAATGCGAAACTTTGGTCCTTCTCTTCGAGCGAGGGAGTTATCGAGAGCAAAAGACTCGTTCAAATTGTAGCATGACGACTCACCGTGAAGTTGACTGACGAGTTCAGTAAGCTGGTGAGCGCTACCGAGAGCCCTAAGGAGGGAGTTTCCAGACTTTGCCGGTTCTCGATGAGGATGCAACCGACTTGAATCATCCGGGATCCCCCTTTTCGAGGACAGAGTTTCCTTCGGCTGGAAACATACTGGGTTTCGAGTGTCGCTGTTCTTCTTTTGTTGGCGGCGTTCAATCCGTTTTCTCTTCATGAAAGCGAGTACTTCGGATCGATTGTGCTTCCGGGTCGTGGGAGGTCTCGGCACGAGCAGCTGAGCTTTCTCGGGTGCCGTGGAGTCCCCTTGCATGGAGACAAACATCATCACCGCATCCTTCGATTTTTTCGGTGGTGAAGGCTGAAAGCTCGTGTTTACCAGAGGCTTGGACGCATACTTCCGAGCCGGTTTGACGGTTTTGTATTCCTCGTCTGATAATTCAATATCTCGGTCCGTGACAATCTCGACCGGAACGTGTCTACTAAATCTACAAATTGACGAGGGCTGCGTTGGTTGTGAAATGGCAGGATTTTTCGGCGGCGATACTTCTTTAGGACTTTTTGGAACGAGGGAAATCCGTTGATCTCGACTCGACATTCGTTCTGCGGGACCGCTTCTGTCGTCCGTGACTTTCCACGTGAAGATTTCCTTCACATTCGCCGATTGGAGCTCCCTTGGGGCGCCTTTACGCGCTCGGATCAGGGGTTTCTCCGTCATCACATGGTACGTGTTTACAAGAGGTTTCACCTGCGTATCTGCATCTCTACGTTTTTTTTCGGAGTTTTTCGGTAATTTATTCCTCTCACTCGACTTCTTGTGAACGCCGGGACCTGGTTCAGATCTGCTGGATTGTCGAAGAGGCGATGATTTACTTCTAGGAGATTGTGGCTGCTTCCTCGCACTTGAGGGACTCGTCGTCGAACTTCGTGGCGATCGGGGTGTCCTGGGTGAATTCGCTGATGTCTGAAGTTCATTAGGTGTCTGTGGCGTTTTAGGTGTGCGGGGTGACTGAGGAGGTGTACGGGTAATCGAGACGACACTGCTGATCTTGCTCCTGCTCCCTGAGACACATTGGGACCGTCCCGGTGAGAGCGGAGGCACAGCACATCCTTCTGTCGAGAAGGAAGTTGTTGCCACCTTGAACTCTCGCCTCGATCCAGTCTCTACGGTAACGGCTGACGTCGGTGAGGGAGGACCTTCGGTCTGCACCGTTTGTTCTCGACGGAGCTCAGCTTGGAAAGAGCACGTCTGGGAACCACAGGACACGGTCAGCTTTTGTGAGGCCGATTGAGTGATTGTCTCAGCATCCTGTGAGACCTGTTGACTGGATTGGAGCTCTACTCGGATGGTTCTCCTCAACTTTTGTTTCTCGACGATTTCCTTCAGAGCTGTAAAGACGGGGTCCGTACTTGAGATTCATTCTATGATCGGGACGAAGAATCGGCACAACATATCACATGATTGGTCCGCTCCCGGCTGAAAGCATTTCTTTATCATGGGTCCCGTGAGTCGTATTCCAACGCTCAGATTATGATTATTAACCGACGAACCACAATTTGGAGAAAACCGTCGCCAATCAAAGCCACAGCCGTGCGTAGCGGACAATCTTTTCGACGTCGAAGACTAAGTTAGCCGACTCTCCGAAACGTTCGGATTCGATAATTAGAGCTGACACAATAACTAACCTGACTGCTTCTTACGGATCCGCAGAGAAGTCTCTTTGACTTCCTGATCATTCTGAGTGTTCGGCGGGCTCATCTTCCTCCGGAGATCACCCTGGAACGATTTCTACGCCTGAAGACACTGAGAACCTCAGTACATACTCCGACATCGGAGCGATTTCGATTGGACGAAGTTATGCTGAGAGACCGAGCTCTGGAGGTCTAAAGCAAGTCAACGCCGAGTTGACCGCGGCCAAGATGAGAACGCGACCGTAGCTACGGCATCGCGTCATCCCAGAGTCCCGTATCCACCAGGTTTCTCCACGTCGTACACGTGGGTTCTAATTGACTTCGAACCCCCGACGAGACAACCGTTGCCAAGAGCACCGCTTACCACTTGGCGCGCGCAGTTCAAACCAGAATAAAAACAGATTTGTCGAGTTACCTGCGAATCTCCGTCGCTGTCAAGGCGTCAGACGCATATTCGGATCACTTCGCTGGAATGACATGGAAGTGGAGCCGCACGATCCTTCGATTCGAGAGCGTCCGAAATTTCTACATACACTGCTCTACCGTACGTTGACACAGCAGCTCTACGGTATGAATTTCCACGGAGAATGTTTACAAACTCGCTGACTGGTTGTCGCGGGCAATAGCAGCAGCGATGAGCCCTCCTCCTCTCCCGCGAGTGTACAGAAGAGTAGACCGGAGTACAATTGGTACGGGTCCAGATTCTTTTTGAAGGAACAATGTTCGCGCAGAATTCCATGTGGGCGAACGTGGGTCACCCCATGCTGAGACTCAATTATTAAAAACAAACGGAATTAGGAAGCGAGCCCCATCGCGAGAAATCCCGTCAAGAGGCCGCGCGCTAGTCCCATGTCCACGTAGCGTGAGCGCTACTGTCATGTCAGTCGGCTGCTTCACTCTTCAACAAGCTTCTCACGAGACGAGGCGTGGTGTAGAAGCGGCGTTCGCCTTATTTGACAGTGAACGTAAACTTCTCTACTCGATACGTTGTGACGTGCCGTGCAAAATTCAACCATGGCCCATCTCGGTAATCTGAACCCCATCCAGATCCTGAACCATCAAGCCGAAGAAGAAAAAGCGGAGAATGCGCGTTTGTCTTCATTCGTTGGCGCGATCGCCATCGGCGATTTGCTCAAATCCACGCTGGGACCCAAGGGAATGGACAAGATCCTGCTCTGCGAAACGTCTCGCGATTCCAAAGTCGAAGTAACCAACGACGGTGCGACCATTCTCAAAGCTATCGGTATCGACAACCCCGCAGCGAAGGTTCTCGTCGATATTTCGAAAACTCAGGACGATGAGGTCGGCGACGGCACGACGTCGGTAGCCGTTCTAGCCTCGCAACTCCTACAGGAAGCCGAGAAGCTAGTAGGAATGAAAATCCATCCTCAGACCATTATTTCTGGCTGGAGGAGATCCGTCAACGCTTCTCGAGCGGCTCTCGAAGACTTCTCCCAGGACCGTTCGAACAACGAGGCTCAGTTCAAGAAAGACGTCATGAACATTGCCAGGACAACTCTCGGCTCTAAAATCCTCGCCCAGCACAAGGAATTCTTCGCCCAACTCGCAGTGGATGCCGTTATGCGACTGAAAGGAAAATGCAACCTCGACGCGATCCACATCATCAAGAAACTCGGAGGCAGCATGCTCGACTCGTACCTCGAGGCAGGGTTCTTGCTCGACAAAAAACCGGGTCTTAATCAACCGAAACGGGTCGAGAAAGCCCAGATCCTCATTGCTAACACACCAATGGACAGTGACAAAATCAAAGTCTTCGGATCCCGTATGAAGTGTGAGTCTATTGCTCGGGTCGCCGAACTCGAAGAGGCCGAGAAACTGAAAATGAAACGGAAGGTCGACTCGATCCTTGCTCACAAGTGTAACGTGTTCATCAACCGTCAGCTGATCTATAACTACCCCGAACAATTGTTCGCCGATGCGGGAATTATGGCTATCGAGCACGCAGACTTCGAAGGTATCGAGCGCCTAGCTCTGGTGACCGGGGGTGAAATCGTTTCGACGTTCACCAGTCCAGAAACCGTCAAGCTCGGCACGTGCGATCTCATCGAAGAGGTTATGATTGGAGAAGACAAGCTTCTCAGGTTCAGCGGAGTGCCGCTTGGCGAAGCTTGCACCATTGTCTTGCGAGGTGCTACCCAACAGATCCTCGACGAGGCTGAAAGATCTCTGCATGACGCTCTCTGTGTTCTTACCTCCGTAGTCAAAGAGAAAAAAATTTGCTACGGAGGAGGCAGCGCAGAAATGCTCATGGCTGAAGCTGTTGACAAACTGGCGCTGACAACCCCCGGCAAGGAGTCTTTGGCGATTGAAGCCTTCGCTCGAGCCCTCAGACAACTCCCCACTATAATCGCTGACAACGCCGGTCTCGACTCGGCACAACTCGTTTCAGAGCTCCGGGCCGCCCACGCAACCGGTAAAAAGTCTTTCGGTATTAACATCGTTGATGCTAAAATTGATGATATGGAGAAACTCGGTATCACCGAAGCCTTCGTGGTGAAAAGGCAGGTCCTCCTGTCAGCCTCTGAAGCCGCCGAGATGATTCTGAGAGTCGACAACATCATCAAAGCAGCCCCCAGGAAACGCGTTCCGGATAGAAGTCATTAGACTCGACTTGGCATAAATTCCTTCACCTGATCGCCTTGAGTGGTTATTTATTTACCATTAAATAAAGCATTTTTTTGAGGAAGGATAAGTCCGCAGCTCCTTCCGAAACTGGAGCACTATGCCAATAAAATGCACTCGATTACGTTGATTGGGTTTCCCATCCGACACCGTCCATCATCAGACGAAAAGTTATCAATTTGGGATTTCAGGCGTTCGGTAGGTTAAGTGCAGCGAAAAGATCTTTCTCGATCCGTAGCAGGCCTCCCACACGCTTTCCGCGCCAAATATGGAAGGATGTGCTGTCGCTCGGGTGAGAGTGTTCGCGGATAAGTCGCGCGGCGCGTCCAGCGGCGTTCCGTCTGTTGCCAATAGCGGCAGCGATCCGGGAGCAGCGATCACATGTTTTTGATTTTGCGTACTACAAGTTCAATAATTATTGAGATCTCCCTGACAGCGCTGTTGGCAGACGGACATGACTTAAATTCGAACCGCTCCCCCATCTCGGCATTCCGGCTCAGCTTTTCCGCAGGTCAGATTGACTCTCTGGGAGCGCCACGGAATTAGGAGAAAAGAGATCGCTGCATGATCCTCTTCAGATACAACGCGCACGGAATCGATGTTTGGGGAGCCGAGAACGGAGAACTTATGTATCTCCTCCGACTGTTCCTATCATCTCGTCAAATATACATAGACCCGTGTAGCGTATCCGCAGAGCTCAATTCATCTAAGGGATGTTGTCGCGTTGAATGCCGAAGACCTAATGGCGAATATCTTCCTTTGGCCGACGCGGAGTTCATGGCTTGACCGAAAAAATTATGAAATATATGTTAAGGAATGAATACATACACACAAGAAGTATGTAGAAAAAATTGGAGCCCCGGATATCGAGACCTGAGTTCTGGTCGGACCCCGCCCTGAGGGAGCATAGCTTCAGAACACGGATCAAGATGGAAACTCGCGAGGTCGGATGGAGGTCTTCAGCTCGGGAGCTCACCGTGCACAGGGACTCCCTTTGAAGATTACACATCGAGAGCCGGGGGGCGACCGGCGCGCAACTGCCGCCTTCCGCTGAAGCAGTGCTCCGTCATGCAGTTGAGTCCAGCAAGTCGCGGAGCTGATTTAGAGCGCAAAGTTTCCCAGGCTCGCTTAACGGGATGGAATTCCCTGTATGAGCTTAATCGGAGTCCAGGTGTCGTGAGACTCCCGCGAGCTAAAGTCACGGAGATAGACGCCCGATCGGAGGAGAAGTTCCGATAGCGATGGCCTAAGGATTTCTCGTCGCTTGATCTCTCGAATACAGTAAAAGCTCGTTATAACGACACCCATTACAACGAATTTCTCGGTACAACGAACAAGGAATTTCTCCTCCTTTGGCCAGCTCGCCATAGGGATAGTGTTGAGCGGCATTCCTTACAGCGAAAACTCGGTACAACGAACCAGTTTCGTCGGTCCCTCTGTGTTCGTAGTAACGAGCTTCTACTGTATCCTGCCGATGCGCGATAGTACCCGGCGATGCGTTCCCTCGAAATGCGCTCCTCGCTCCTAATTGACTCTGATCATTCGCTCACCATGTGCGCGGATTCTCGACTTACTATATGGAGTCTGAGTTCCGCGATCATCGAAACGTCTCACGTAAACGGAGAATCGGATTCGAGCCCCGTTGGGTAGCTCACGAGATTCCGGTCACGTCACAAAAATGACTCGCTGGGAAGAGACATTTCTGGAATCTGTCCGAAGTGCAGTGCACAACAGTGACGATTATCGTCCCCCATGACTTCTCGAATCTATGCGTTTCGGGTTACGCGTCGTCGGGAATCCACTTCGATTGCGAATTTTCCTCGAGTTTGAAACTCGCGCCTGGACTTGAATGGAATTACGCCGATGTCCCGAGTAATTGACTCTACAGTCACTCTATCCGAAGTTCCATCTTTGCAGCTAATCTGACTGCTGTACAGCTCCGGTCTCCGCTGAGTGTTCCTGCGATCCCCTGTCATTTTGATTGCGTAGAAATTGAAAACCAAAGCTCCTGGGTCTTTCGGTTCTTTGGCCTGAACTGCTGCGGAGGCGATGGCCATTCAGTTTTTCTGAGGTTTTACTCGGTACCTCGATAGAGGGGTTGACAACTCGATAGCGAACGACCGCAAACCTTCGTTCAAGATTTTTTCGTATTACTCCAGAAGGCTGCGAGTCGAGTGTCGTTCCTTCTCCTCACCGGTCGGCGGGGAGCCAGCGTCGGAAAGGTTGAGATTCGCCGCTATGCGTCTTTTCAAATCCGATTGAATTCTTGACACTACAGGCCCTCCTGTTGAATGGGTGAATCGAAGTTTTTTGGTCGAAAGGTCACTGAATATATATCACTCGCACCGGGACTTCTCGAGGAATGCTCCAGGAATTCCAAGGAATCCAGAGCTTTTTCGAAGATTTCCGTGAAGTCCCTGCGCTGCCGTAGTGTCTAAATGGCTCGAAGGAACAAATCGCGTACCATCAGTCGTCTGACTCGCCCGCAGAACCGGCCAAGAGCGTTCAGAGAGTATCTAAGGAATTTTCCGGGTTTCGCTGGTTGATGCTTCCAATCCTGAGGAGCCAGACGAACTCATTTTGACTTGCGTTAGCTGATACGTGAGCAAGTCGTCCCCCCGCAGAAATCCGGTGGAGTTATTCCTCTTCTCACTCTCACTCAATTTATCCGCGTTCGAGAACGAACTCTGATTATTTATCGACGAGAATTACTTTCTGTTCGCTCGCGTCGATGCTATAGCAGCGGAGTGAACTTCCACGACTTGACCGCATCGAAACGTGATTAGGAACGCTCGGGGTGACTTCCGTCAGTGACCCGAACGTAATCGTTCCCGGGAGGAAGAAATTCTCGCGCTCGACCGAGAAAGAATTTTACGGCGAGTGCAGGAAGCCAGTCGTACGAATCTATCGGATGTCAGCCCGCGACGGAGCCTCCGAAAATTCCCACTCACAGGATTTTTCGGAGCAATCACTGCGTGCTGCGGACGTGCAGGGCTCGGCTGGTCACCGTCCTCTCGGCTTTGAATTGAAAATTCTTCCCGTCGCTTGAAATATGTGTTTCAGCTATCACCGACTTGCTCGCCGGGGCTGCGAGTGCAGGTATGTGTGCGATAGACTAAGACAATAAATCTGCAGGGAAAATGCGGAATAATCCTTCGCAACCGAAGCGAAGAGAGTACAGATCCTCGCTGTTATGAGCGAACTTATGTGGACGGTCCTCGTTTCGGCACACAAGGGAAGCCGACCAGTCGTCCGCGCAGCACGCATTCTGGCTCGGATGACGTCGGCTATCTGCGCGGGGAAAAATCCCAAGATCCTTCTTAGAGCTCATGAATGGCGAGAGGAGAAGCACAATAGCCGCTGATAATGGGTCGGGGGCATTTTCGAGTCTGCCTAAAGGCACAAGAAAATCAATTTGCTGGTATTGGGTCGAGCACGAACACAGATGATATTAGGGCACGAGCAACGTTTTCGAAGACGTCATGATACGACCGGAGACCTCCCGAGTTAATTCAGTCGAGTGTTTTTTTTTCCTACCGGAGTGCAAACGGTGTGATTACCTAAATCAGATTCTGTCGTCGGCTGTGTCAACAAGTCGGTTTTCCTGCGTTTGCTCCGCTTCCTCGTCGTGTTGACGAGTGGATGTGTACCCCTGAACTCTGCTTTTGATTCCCAGTCTGTTGACCGGATATCGTTCCCGATTGCCTTGGAAGAGCCGAAACTCCGACGGATCTCAGCTGAAGCAAAGGGATGAAAACGGCCCCTCAGACCATCATTCCACGTATCAGAAGGAAGCTAATCTGGCTCTCATGCGTAGGATGACTACCACGAATAGTGAACGTCGGAGCACGCGAGCGATCCATCGTCGAGGAGGTTCGCCAGTAGGAAATGTCTCGCGAGGGTTCTCCCGTTTCGCTAGGCTGAGAGGTTCGAGAGGATCGCCCGACGCAAAATAATAATGACCTATTATTAGTTCGTTCCTCTAACGAAGTGCGGCGCTCGAGAGATGTCGATTTAGACCAAAGTTCCCGATTCCGTCCGAAGTCGTTCCCCCTCATTTTACTGTCAGAGAGCGATGCATAGCAGCTCGAGCTTCCCTTTCGACGACGAGCTGCCACGTGCCTGCCGAAGCTTTCAGCTTGCAATGCGGGTAGAAGGCAGCCGCACCGCGGATCCGAGCCGGGCTCTGTCGAAGACCGAATCCACGCACCGAGTTTTCACCTCTGAGGGTCAAGACCTGTCGAGATGTTCGAGCTGTCTATTTCATCGGTCAACAAATTCGAGGTCTTCCAAGCCTTGGAGGGCTCTCGAACGCGATTCTCTGTACTGTGATGTGAGATCTAGTCCGTATCTTGCCGAGTTCGTTCTTCTCTCCTCTTTGGAAACAATCGGCAATTATTCCAAGTCGAGGATCCGAAGTCTTCACGATGCAGGAGGATCTCGCGTCTTCAACCACATCGAATCAGCGTTTTCGAGATTCGTATTCGGCAGGGAATGAGATTGCCTCAAAATTGGATCGCATTCCCAACGTGCGATCAAAGATCGAGGGAAATCTGTCGAGATGATGCGGAAGCTAGATGGAACGTCTACGACTGATTCACGGGGTTTGTCAGATCCACTGATTCCCGCGGAGATGCGGACAGGTCAATCTTGAATCTCATAGCAACCTTTTGTTTCGGCGGAATTATGACGACATCGTCCGGCTGGTCGAGCCCCGGCTGGAAGGTCTTGAAATCGTCATGAATCTGCGAGGAAGAACTCGAAACCCCGACTAGAAAAACCGATTCGATTTCTTCTTGGGTCTGTGGTCATCACAAATCAGCGAGTCTTGATTCTTTTATCGCGTTTACTTTGGCGTTCTTCCTCCGCGGAAAAACGGTTCAACGTTCCGTCTCGGAGATGCTTGACGCGTGGGTGTGTGCTCATCCTCCACGCCGCCAGCTAGCGTCAGCTCGGGAAGGATGGGGGTCAGGAAGCAATCGCTCCTGATCCTCGAAAACGGTGGCGAATCCAGGGGGGGGGCGGCGAGGGAGCTATGAGGGTCCGATCCCTGAGCGCCAGCGGAGCATAAGGGTCTCAGTTCACAGGGTGGAATCATCGGAATCCGTCCTCGGTAGCGATACCAAATGGGTGAAATCGAGACATCGAGGCGTTTGGCGAAGTTGGAACGAGGACAGTCCAGAATATATTGGAAATCCTTTCATGAAACGCTCCGAGCCTTCTCTGGAACGATTGGACCAGGTTTCGCGAAGACTCGTCTTCTTCCTGCGGGATCTTGGTAGAGTTGTCGAGCTGTCTCAATTCTTGCCTAGTCTCACGCTCGTTTGGCCTACCGTCTCTGCGGCGTTAAAGCATGCAGCATCAGAAGATGCTGTCTCGGTGGGAAGTTCCTGACGCGGCGTTGCTGGGTACATACTTCTGGGTATGGCTATCAGATCGATCTATATAAGTTTCCATCCGTGTCAGAAATACGGAGCCGCAGCTTTTTCGCTGCTTCGCTTGCGGACGGTGTATTTGAGGGTGTCTCCCGACCCGGGTAATGTACATGGGCTGATTTGGGTTCGTTCTCGAGCAGAAATATACATAGTCGCAGTGACAAGTGGGGTGACATTTCGCAGCGATGAAAAGTGACGGGCACAGAATGAATTCCATGTACATAGTCCTCGAGAGAAGAGCCTCGCCCACAGATTTTCTTCGGCTTGACCTTTCCTCTTTTCTTTGATGACGATGATGCTGCTGCTCGAGACCCACGAACGAGAGCCTCTGCCATGTACGAGCTCTGTTGCCAGACTCATTACTGGCTTGCCCGATCTCAAATTTCAGAACTTTCCTGCTGCTCGTTCGACCTCGGCGAACTTTATACACGGCGAAGGATTCCGAACCGGTGCTGCTTTGAAAGCATGCCTTCAAAGCGGACCTGTTCGGCGAGGATATCTGAGACGTTCGCCGTGCCCGGGGCTCCCGGAACGAGTGTTGTCATAAGCGTTGGAGCTGATTCGCGTTGTGATGTTGCGCAGCCTCGAGCGTCATCCGAAACGATCCTGCTACAAAAAGAGCCTTCCGACACGTTCGAAGGGTCGAACATCTCTCGACCGACGTGTGCTGGAATCTTGTTCCCAGTGTTCATTCTAAAATCGCTGAATCGATGGTATTCCACACCTCGGCCGCTCTGCTACCTCTTGCACAGCGTTCGACACGGTGGAGCGAGATGTGAGCGTAGGGCACGCGCGGAAAATGAGTATCCGGTCCGGCGAGAAGGTACGAATAAATGAAAGTTAAAACGTTCCGATCACGCTCGTCCGCAACGTTGTATCCTTTAGGAGACTCGCCCGGCCCTCTGTTTCCCGCGCGTAGAGGATTCCGATCATCGCCAAGGTCAACGAGGAAACGATCCTCTTGCAAGGTCCTCTACGCGAGTTCCGATTGTGTCTTTTCCAACAGTTGACTCCGAGCTCGTCAAAGTTCACCTTGGTAGGCGGCGCCAATTTGTCAATAATGGTGATACATCTGAGTCGTTCCCGAAACTAAAACCGATCGTGGGACGGGCTCTCGGAAGCGGCCGAACAAGAACGACCGAGCGAACGAGTCTGTCCTTATCGATAATCCATACAAGCCGCTGACCAGTCTCCTGTATCCATCGGACCGAAAGCCGCCGACCGTGGGGGTGACGTTCGAGGAGCCTAAGCGGAACCATGTTCGGCAGAAGAGAGACCGAAATGACTGCAGAAAAATTCCTCTCCACCGTCCGCGCTGCACTTGAGCATGTCATCAGCAGTTAGACGTCAAGGACTGCAAACGATGGAATGCATACGCTCGGTCACCTATTGATTAATTCTCCGCGGGAGAGCCGCGCCGATTCCGCGGGAAGCGAAGCGGGCACTGACTCCTTGCGAAACTAGAGAAATTCTGGCGAATTCGATCGTCGGGGAGTCGACCGTCGCAACCTCGCTCGGGGAAGGAACCCGTCCACTCTACGGAATTTCTTCGATGCAGAATCCCTTCTCTGTTGAGGATTCAGGCTCCCTGGTTGAGTCAAAATCAACGTTGCCACCCGGAGTTCTGAGGCTGCGATGGCTCGCTCCGGTTGCTTCGGAGTAGGGGTAGCACGTAGGGCCTAGAGGCCGAAGTAGCCTCCTAGACGGCACGGTCCAGGCTCGCAAGCGTTCGGGCACACGGATCGGGAGGCAGGCACGGAGGATTACTCTCCGCCATCCGGGACCCTCACCCCTTGTTGATACGGTACGCCCTCTCCGACGTAGCGGGGAGTTGGGCACATGAGAGCTGCAATCCGCAGCGACCGTCGGAGACGTATCGCAGGATGAAATCCACGTGATAGCTGAGTGCGTTGTCCCAGTGGGTTCTCATGTTCTCAAGTTTTAATCGTTGTCGTCGTTGTTGTTGTTGTTGCCGTGGACCTTGTTGTTGTGGGTGGTGTTGTGTTTGTTGAGTGCAGCGGACAGGCTCCGTTCAGTAAAAGAGGAATATGGCCTGTGCCTCTCCACGCAGATCGCCTGCGACTCCGCGCCGCAGAGCCAAGGGACCGCTTCTCGCATCCGAAACGCTGCCGACATTGGCGAATATCGATTCCATCATCGAGAAACTTCTGTCCGTTCGGAAAACTCCCGGCAAAATGGTAAGTCGCAGCTCCAGAGAGGTATGCGGCTTTCCTCCGTCGACCGAGCTACAAACTTAGATCGGACCATAAAGCTCGTCGGCTTCTCGGCTGCGTCCGTGGTCCAGTGTAACCAATTACGCCGTCGTTGTCCTTCCCGCGATTAGTCTGCATCATCGCAATTATTCCATCGTTGCGTTCGTCGTCGAACACGTACATTGCGCCGGCAAGCATCATGGATTCATGAGTAGATTTAGGTACCGACTCGGCAGCCGACTCGGGATATCGCATGCTCGGCCTCACCGACGATGACGACAATGGCATCGACAGCGCCAACAACGACAGAGATTAGAGCCCAGAAACGACTTACGCACACGGTACGAGCTCGGTCGGGGATGCTGCTAGTGCGGAGATGATGATCATCATCGTCGTCGTCGTCTTGCTCGACGTTGTCCTCGTCTTCTGCGTTCCCCTTGATGCGAGTCACTCGAGTGCGGGGAAATGGCGGTTTTTCGGCTCCGATTGTCCGAGAACGGTTCCGCTCACACCACGCACCTATCCCAATCGTATCCTTTCGGAGTCGACCGCATGCGGAGCGGAGCAGTCGGCTCACCCGGTGTATCACGCGCGGCGTTTGGCTCGCTATGCAAAGCATATGTTTTTACTCGGGAAGTCTCGGCATAAAAAAAAACGACGGTAGCGATCAATTTAGTGCGGGGCATAAATGACGAGGGAGTCCGCGCACTGCACAATACCATAGCGGACCCACAACACGGGCGGGCATGCTCGTCCCGCCCGGAGCCGTTTGTGTGCCCGCAATCATCCGAAACTCGTTCGAGAAAGCTTCCATACCGTTCCTGGAGGAACATGAAGGAAGAGGAGGATATTACCCGACGACGACGACTGCTACATGGAAGTGAGTGTAAGTGTGTGTTCATCTTGTGAAGGACGAGCACAGGGAAAAGTCGCGCGATCAAGAGCCTCGAGCGAGCTTCGACGACATTGTGCCGGACGTTTTTATGCTAGAAATTTTCTCCCGGATATATTTTAGGCTCTTCCAGCGGCGGGTGCTCGACACCATGGATACTGCTGTTCCGTATTGCGGGTCGGTCGTCGTTAGACGGCTCAAGAATCCCGATAGATATAGACGAGAGGGAACCGGGAGAGAGCCTTGGAAAAAAAGGAACCTGCTCCTGAAGCGCCCACCTAATTGCTTGTAGCCGCTGCCGCTTCTGCTGCCGCGGGAGGAATGATCGGCCGCGGTACTTGGCTTGTCATTTGGCTTCGCGAAGTGGAAAGAAAACCGTGCAGAAGAGAGACCGTGCGAGCGAAAAATACGGCTCCCCTTGATCATCTAACCCGCGGAGGGTCTCAATGGATCGCAGTTCCGTTCCGTTCGATTAGAACCGTGGAGAGGGTTTTTGAGTTCAGAGAGACTAACACTCCTTTACGGGCTTGATTCACCGAGAGCCATTTTTTTCGATACTCATCCGAAGAGGGCGGGAAGCCGGTCGGACTTACTGCTGGGAGATCGTAATTCCGGAGCTGACGAGTTCTCCCCACGCACAACGAGTGCTCTTGAGCTTGACATGCCCGAGCTCCAATCGGAAACCGCTCGCGGGGCTGTAAGGGTCACAAAGGGTAGCCCGTTGCTCGACGGGCGGGGGGCGAGAATGATTCCCCTCCATCAGCCCCTGGGACAGGGCAGCAATCAAATATTAGAAGCAAACGTAGCGAGAAATCCTTGAGAGCCATCTACCGGCTCTAGCAAGCACAACAGGCAAGCCAACATATAAGCAGGCCGACCGAGAGTCAGTCAGCCAGTGGGCCAGCCAAGCGAGCAACCAACTAAAAGGATCGCCTTCCAGCAGCAAACCATTCAGGATGACACTCAGCGGGCAGGCGGGCGAACACCCGTCCACTATTCCTTGCAGTGCCTAGGACGAGATTTGGGGGAAAAGGAGTTCTTTTTCTATTAACACTGAGCAGTGCCAGAAAGAGGAACGCTTGAGAACAGTTTTGCAAGCTCGCTCTGCAGCTCAGTCGACGGAACTAGGGGAAGTGCTGCGGACAGCTCATTGAAGAGGCTTGGAGAGCAAAAAAAGAAGAGACTCTGCTGGAATTTCGCGACCGCTCCGGTTGTGGACACTCTCCGACGCATTACTGGGGGTAGAGTCGGTGGTTCGACAGCTTCAGGACAACACCTCGGACGAACACGGGTCAGCTGACGTCATCCGCGAGGACTGAGCGCGCCTGACGGTCTGCTTAAATCGCAAGTCCCGAAAGAAGTCCTGGCGGAGAAGAGGAAAAACCTAATTGAGGCTTGAATGAGCGACAGCTTCAGAATACGACATGTCCGGCAGAATGCATGGTTTTTTTTCATTGCCGCTTCTCCGCTCTCCCGCTGACCTTGGACATCGTTTCTCTGCTCTTCTCCTTCAACTCACTGGGCACTTTTGGGAACGGAGCTCTATGGGAGTAAGTGAAAGGCAGGCCGATCCTGCTGATGACATCGATCTTAATCCGGCGTCAAGATTCCCGTTCATAATCAGATCTGGCAGCATTTTCACCCGTACCGCGGTCTCCGCACGTAGACCGGGAGAGCTCCATTGGGCTGAGTGTCTGGCTCGCGGTCCGGCTGATGGAAAGATGAAAGCGTTCCACGCTCCCATGTACACAAATGACCGTAAAGCCGACGGCTACACCGGTGGCCACGGCGGTGCATACCAGGAGAGGATCGTCGAAGCGAACGTGTGCTCCGCTGTCGTCTAGGGCGGTGTGTCCTTCGAGTCAAGGTCACCGTAGGTGGGAATTGATTGCTCACAGCGTCCCGATGATCCCTTCCTTAGGTCTGCGGATTTTAAAGAGCTGAAAAAACCTTCTTCTGCTTGAGGAACGACGACAAGCGTGACCGGCGACGTCGTTGTTTAGATGAGTCTTTCGGGAGGCCTTGATCCTGTAATTCTCCCTTCGACAGAACTCTGCTCCCGGTCTGAGCAATTCGAGTCGAGAAACTCATCGCCGATGCCCAAGAGTCACAGAGTGGATGGCCCGCAATTTTCTGGCATTGCAATATGAGTGAGGGAGACAAAGAGTCGCACAGTCTCCTCATGATGATATACCCTCATTCGGGTATATCTGATGCGCAAAAAAACTCCCCTCAGTACCGGAAGGAGATACGACGCACGTCTCTTAACGGTGTATTTTTTACTCTCATTTTCTTCTCCCCGCACCGCCGCTTCCCTGTCCACAGTCTTGGGTATCTATCTTTGTGACGAGCACATCTGAATTACACGGACAGGTCGTAGATACCCAAAATGTCTTTACGACTTGATTCATGGGCTCGCCGTCGCTTGTATACGCTCAGCCAGGCCGTTCCCTCGTCTGACGAAGAGTTGTCTGGGCCGAGTCGCTGAGGGGCTGATGCGAGTTATAGCTGTCAAGCGATCAGCAGGACCAATACTGGTCGCATAATGGATTCAGTGCTTGTTTCTCCTATATCTAGAAGGAGACAGCTCTGAAGATCGACGGCGACGATGAAGGGATCGGGTGATCAATCGAATGAGCGTGTACAGCTGGGTCGCGCTCTGCCATTCTCTGGAAATCGGAATGGGGAGCGTGGAGTAATTTCTGTTTTTGCATTCGGGACTTCCTTTTCCACCCGAAATTTCCCCTAACGAAAATTCCCGGGGACCGATTTAGTTCGCTTTTTCGTGTCCACGCGGAAATGTCCGGAATTTTCAACGCAATGCGATGATTCTCCCTCCTGAGGACCGAGACATCGAAGCGTTTCGCTACAACCATTGTGGATATGCGTAGACAGATTGACGGAGGGAGCTTGATCACGGATGCCGAGATCGGCTACGACTGATTAGGTAATGACTCGAGCGACATGAGTTAGATGTGTATTCCGAGAGGATCCTAAAATATCCGCGCATCTGTGAATCCTCGTCACATGGGAAACGAAAAATCTTCGGCGGACTGACAAGCTATCGGCTGAGAGCGCTGCAGGAGTCCTAATGTGCAGCCGCTGTCGTGTTCATCCTAATTCCCGTACCGAACTCCCTGCTTTCATGTGAGGAGGAGATGCTGTTGCGTCGGTGGCAGGTTACCAGGGACGCTCCCCCATAGGATCCCAGGTATCGGAGTTTTGCGCGCTCAGAAATGTCGGGACGAGCGGAGAAATGTCGGAGCGTTGTCATTGAAACTTCCGAAGGCACTCCCTGTCTTGTTTGAAAGTCTCAAGGCTCGTCGCGATCGATACCCACACGTGGGAGGGCCGCCGAAGAATCTGACTTGCGATTCGTTGTTGGCGTATAGGGATTTCCCTCGTCGGATTTCTACGAAGGAGGAATGGAGGCGGCATGCAATTCGCGGGCCAGCACACATACGGCCAATTTGTGCTCCAGGATCACCGTGATCCCACACCATACAGCCGCGTGTGCGCGCTTGCGCGCAGCATTGGAACAGACGTGAAATGATGAGGCGCACCCTCTCGGGTTGCATAGCGATATCTCGTATTTTTCCCTTGTATTGCCGGACCTCGCCTCCGTAGGGATCTCTGAGCGGCCCGGGTCTGTTTCTCTCTGGCTCCTCATCTCGTTCGTGATTCACCTTCTCGCGGAGCGCTGCGACGCGACGTCGGAAACTTCTCGAAACAAAGTCGGTTTGTCAATTTCGGATCAAATCCTCAATACATGTCAGAACCTCACGTCACCCTCTGCAATTTCCGTCGACGATTCCGGAAAGTTTGAGTCAAAAACCGTCTCCTGTTCAGTCGACGGGAATCTCTTCGCCCAACTCCTTCCTCGTCGTCGCAGCGGCGGCGGAGTCACGAGAAGAGGGAGGAGAAGCTTTCTTCCCCGCGATTAGAGGCTACGCAATCGCTCCTCCTCCTCGTCGTCTTCGCACTTTTCCTCTAACAACGGACCCGACGTTGATTTCTACGAAAAGTATACCTCGAACTTTTCCGCTCACTGTTCTTCTGACGTTCTCGGAAAGCGGAACGGCGATTATGTCTT